ATACATGACAGCTGAAGCAAATCACAGGGACACATTAACAAACCCTGGAACTTCAGCACCCATGTCAAAAATCTGTATATATGCTTTCAGCATTCATAGAAGGGATTGTTAGAATCTTTCAGAAAGGAAGGAGAAGTGCCAAAATAGTCCTGCTTAATTTTATACAAATGTCTTTTGTATCTTTGGAAAAAAGTAATCTGATACAAGGAGGGAGGCCAGTCAGTTTAGAACAAATTGCAAGTGACATTACTGTCAGCTTGCCATCCTCATCTCCTTCATTGGACTTGTCTGTGTTTGTGTCTGTGTTCTCCATGCCAGGTGCAGGGAGACATTAGAGCTGTGTTTCAGTCTGTGGAGACCGGCCTGTCAGTCCTGCTCACCATGTGGGGACACTCTGTCCCTCAGGTTCCTTCCCCTGAACTCAGCAGCCTGACAATGGGCGAGGATAGACACGCTGGCTGCTGTGAGTAGGGAAGGTCAGAGGAGGTCAGCAAAGAAAACAGTCCTAATGGAGTTTTTATTGGGGACAGAGAGCCACACACAAAGACAGCTCATCTAAAGGGCTCCAAGCATGAGTGTAGGAATTGAAATGATGTAGGACCCAACAGTCCCATTACTGCTGAATCCCTCCAGCTCTAACCCTTCATAGTAATCCAGCATTATTTTGTTCCTATTGCTGTTTCAAGCGTGTTTCATTTTTGAAGCAACCTGGATCAAGGATTACAGGAACCCACATGTTTTCTCTCAGATTAATGTTTATCAGTGGTCCCCATTTGGTTTAGGCTGTTTCTGTCATGCTAAGCTCTCTGAGCTGACAGCAACATTAACTCCATCTAAACCATCAACATGTTTTACACTCTATCACCACCGGACTACCCAAGGAGCTTTCCCTATCCCAATACACCCTTTTCACATTGGGCTGCTACAGTAATATGAAACAAAACCAAACAGTGCATTGAAAAAAAATTTGAAAACATAAAAAAAAGCTTCCAAAAAAGTTAAAAAACCATCCACTGGACTTTGTTTCCAAGTTTGAAGACGTTTCCAGTCCCACCCAGGAAGCTTTTCAATACAAACTGTCAGAAATAGCGTTTAATTCAAAGCTTTCATGAGTGGACCAAAAACAAAGCCTTATTACAGCTTAGAAAGCATGCAAATTGAACTGGACGAACGGGTCCCCCCCCTTAGGAATGGGGGTCGTTCGGATTCTTTTGTTAGCAGTATCCAATACTGGTCTCTGAAAGGGTTGTCGTTAGATTGAATTGTTGGCCTGGCTAAACGGGCGAAGTAAGCTGTTCCCCTATAAAGGGGGTGGGGGTTGCGATAGTATCTATAATCGCATTTTTGGTTGCATTGTCCAGTGGATTATTTGGAATGACTATGACCTGCATGGCTGAGAATCTTCACCAGCATATATGAAAATAAAAATTCTCTCTTTCTTTTTGCCAATGAAACCAGTATTCTTACTGTTTAAATAATATCATTAGATTCCATGCCCTTGTTTTTGATGTACAGTAAAATGTCCTATTTTATTAGGAAACTGTTTTACTTAGTGGCTCAAAACAGCAAATCAGAATTGAATGAATGAAATTTTTTCCACACTGCAAAAGACATCCTTAAATTGTGAAAAGATTCTTAAAATAACTGTATTTACCCTTAATTTGAGTGGGTAAATAAGATAATAATTAGGCTTTAAATTAGATAATTAGATAGTATGCTCTTGAGAGTCCAGTTTTTTTTTTTTTTTTTTTCAAATGTAAATTGTCTTATCCCATTGACAAAATGTCTCATTTACCTGCTTAATTCAATTTTGGTTTAAATATTTTTTTCTGGCCGAATTTGATTTGCTCAATAGATTAAATTGCTTAAACAAAAGTTACAGATAGCTTTTAACAGAAATTATGTTACATAATTTATTGGTCCTGTGTTTGGATTGTTTGGATTTTATGCATAAAAATGAAACATGTAAAAGTGTGTAAAGGCCAAGCAAACTACATCCACAATAGCAAGCTAAAAAGCAATGAAACCAACCCGTCAAAATGAGATGTGGCTCAATTTAGTTAAAATAATCATAAAGAGCTTCAAAGAAGTTCTTCTTTAGTTGGAGCTTTTATGGTTTCAACTTGAAGGATGAAACTGAATCTCATTAATTCTCATACAACACCAAAATTGATGGAACCAGTCTCAGATGTAAACTGTAATTATCCCCCTGTTTAAATCATAGAAATACATGCTTGTGTGCAGAAAATCTGCTTTTATTCTAAAAGGGACGTTTTCATACTGAGAACAAAAGGTGGGAAATCAGCAACTAGTCAAATGTGATGATTGTTTGGGTCGACAGGGTCCATTTACAGCATGATTAATTGTGCACAGGGGGGTGTTCAGAGGTCCTGCTGATAGGATGGATGGATTTTTAGCCGGTTTGTATTGTCCAGCATCACAAAGGGGCCCTAAGGCACCGTGAGTCTTTGTGCCAGTTCAGGTTCTAACTCCCGCTCTGTTGGGTATTCAACAGTCACCCTTAGAGGCCCTCATGTCAGCCACAGACCTGATTTCCACGCTGACCTATGAACCCAGCTTAAGTGTGACCAACTGTATTTCCTCTCTTTCATCCATTTTGACATGAAAAATGGCTCAGAGCTCGTCTGCGTATTTATGGATCAGTGTTGCTGTGTTCCTTTAGCATGTCTGCTTCTGTCTCCTTGAACCCCCAGTCAGATGCAATCAGCTGGTTTTCCTTAGACAGAAAACCTTTTACCAATCTGACTGTATGATCTGGCTGGATCGTCTCTGTAGAGTGCATTAAATTGACATGTGTCAGTGAATTAGTGCTATAAAAATAAAAGTGAATTTAATTAAAGATATGGAAATATTTCTATTCTCGTTAACTGATTTTTTCTATTCTTTCTTATTTTCCTTAATTGCCAAGAAATACCGTGCCTCTCAATAGCTATGTTATATCGTTTACTCAAATCATCAGGATAGTTCAGATTTGATACAATCTTTTAGTTCCTTTAAGGTGGCCTGTGTTTCTAAAGGTCGTACCCTGTTTCTGATTTTATTGAATAACATGATATCCTGTCTGAATTCACTTAGAAATGCATTATATGTGTTCCATACAAAAAAAAAGTTAAAAACAAACCACTGGACTTTGTTTTCCATGTTTGAAGAGGTTTCGCTTCCCATCCAGAAAACTTTCTCAATTAAAGATGTCTAGAGTAGCATTGAGTTCCAGGCTTTATGTAGCCTAACAAAAGCCTTGTTATTGCTTAGAAAACATGCAAACTGAACAGCAAACAGGTCTACCCCTTTGTAATGGGGAGTCGTTAAGGTTGTTTTGGCGAGCAAATGAACCAGAAACTGGCCCATGCGTCTGTAATGGGGAGTCGAGGAAAATACTCTAATAGGTCATTATAGGTTTTTGAGAGTTTAAACCTGAGTCCACCAGTATATATTTGAAATTTATTTTATTGTTACCAATTATATCCAATTGTCATTAAAATTTACACCAAGGAAAAAACATCCCTGCGATGGACTGCTGATCTGTCCATGGTATATCCTTCCTTTCGCCCACAGACTGCTGGAGAGGCACCGTGACCCTGGTGGATGAAATGGGAAAAGATGGATGGATGGAAAAAACATTCCTGTTCTTAAATAGCATTTGAAAGTTTCTTTAAATATACCATCCATCCATCTTCTCCAGCTTATTCCATCAGGGTAGCGGTGGGGCCGGTGCCGATCTCAGGCAGTCTATGGGGGAGAGGTGGGGTCACGCTGAACAGGTTGCCAATGTGCAGTAGGCAATAGAGAGACAAACAACCATGCACACCGCTCAGACCCAAAACCAATTAAGAGATGTCAATCAGTCATAATTGGGTTCACACAAACTTGATTCCTGACAATAATTTTGGATTTTAGGAGAAAGCCAGAGTACCCGGAAAGAACCCACGCACACATAGGGACTACATGCAAACTCTGTGCAGAAATATCCAGTAGCAGGAATCTAATCCAGAACCTTCTTGCGGCATGGAAACAATCTTACCCACTGTATCACTGTGCAGCCCCTAAAAATAACAAATAAATAAACATATAAATAAGTAATAAATCCTCAGTGATGTAAAATAAGGTTTTCTTTAGATGCATTAAGTGTTTTTTCAATACAAGTGACTAAAAGGAAAAAAAGAGAAAGAGAAAAATCCTTCAATTCCAGGCTTGTAGATCAGGATGACTTTCCCCTGGAACATTACAGCTTCAGTATACCTGCAATCATTCTCGGTTTCAAATAACAACCCTAAGGCCCAAAACCCCACTTAGCATTTTCTTGGATCTGGCTCATGCAGTTAATTAACATATTTCTATTCAAACAGCTGTTGCTTTGTCACAGCTAGCGTCCCTTATAGCAGAAAACAACAAATGGTAGCTGCTCAGCCATTTCTTTTTTATCATCTTTACAGTTTTTTTTCTCTACATGTATGTTCTTTTTAGCTTTTGTACTGAGAAAAAGGCCTCTCCAGCTGCAAGACTGACATTTCTGGGGCACAGTAAGAAACGTCCTTCACAAAGACCAAATAAAAATCAAGAAGCAGAGTAACATCTGACCTTTTACAGTTGAATAAAAACAGATATTACGGTGTTCCTCTGGATATTGCAAGATGACAGTGTGCAGAGCTTATTGATTTGTTGCGTATACAAAAAGGAACAATAAGTGACAGAATGAGTGTTTGCTTGCACAGGTTGTATGTCAACACACGTGAATAATAAAATGTATCAGTTATATTTATATACATTTGCCTAGATTTTATAGCTATGATGTTTTTCTTGGTCATTTCTATTATTCCCCTATCTTCTGAGTGCTAAGCTATCTTTGTCACCCATTCTCTCACCCCTCTCTCTCCAGGGATGTTTGGCTGTGAAAATAGTGGCCAAAGCTCTCGGGTGGAAATCAATTTCAACCATCATCCTTTCGTTCAGCGGCCAGGGTATATTTTTGGAGCACTTACCAAAGTCTGACATGTTTGATTCTTTTTCTTCACCTCTGCTTCAAGTGCTTCACACTCCTTCCTTCTGGTGCTGATCTCAGTCTCCTGAGGAGAAGAAAAAAAGAAGAGTAAAAACGCTACAGTTTAGCAGGAAAAAAAGGTTTCAGGCAAATCTGAACAAAAATAGGCAGCAATTGCACAAGATTTTAGTATTTAGGGTTTGTATTACACATCTGTACTAGTGTCTGAATATATTTGCATGTGGATCAGAGGTTTCTGCAAGTTTTCTGCAAAATATAGTAAACAGTCAGTTCTCTCATAGGTCACAATGTTTATCTTTAAAGCTAAAATCTCTCTGTTTGACTCCATCTGTAGATATTCAAACATGACAAGGAAGTAAAAACAAAGCCCCGTCTACATTAAAAATAAATGTCTACAAATTCTAAAATAGTAAAAGTGGGTTACAATCAATTCATTCTCCTTTTTATTAAAAGCTTATATTTAATTGCAATCAAAAGCAGCTGAATAAAAACAAAGCTACATACAATTTTAGAGTGTCTAATATTTTTTAAAGAATTTTTTAAATAAATTTAATAATGGGATAGATGATTCAATTGCAGTTGGTCTTAAAACAAGCCTTAAAGCTCAAATTTCTGACTTTTTTTTTTTTATCCCACACATGAAAATATTCTGTGGTTGCTAAACATTATTTTTACCACATTTTCTGTATTTTTGACAGATGCTTAAAAAAATTAACCTTGGTATGATTGCACTCTAGATGTGTAACTGCTGTGGAAACTGCTTTATGTTTGTGCTGCACATGTAAACAGGTTTTCTGGCGCAGGATGACTCCAAAGGTCATTTGAAATTCTTGGTTTAGCCTCTGAAACAGCCTGTTAAATGTCATTCAAAATGTTTTTCATCCTGGGAATGAGATGGTTTCAACCTTTCCCATGCATAAGCAGACTCATTGTGACTATAACTCTAAAGTCAAAATAATTCTTTAAGGTTTTCAAATACATAAAAACAGCAACGTTAATTTACAAGATAAGTTTTCTCTTCTGTAAATTTCAAAAAGAAAAAATATTAAGTCTGCAGATATCCCTCCAGAGGGTGGCTTGCTCAGCCTCTACCTGCTTATAAAAAATGCCCTAAAAGAATCAGAACAGGAAGAAATTGGACATCCACATCAGAGAGCATGGATTGGATTTTCTTTTCGGGTTAAAGTTCTTCATAAATTCTAATTTTTTTTTTGCAGATTTGTATGCATCGTCTATGTTATTGCAAATCATAAAAAAAAACATTAATTGTATTTTTTTTTTAGTTAGTCTTCAGAATACTTTACCATAGTGTGAAAGTTTTAAAAGTGTTACATAACAGGAAACTGTATGCATTTAGCATGGACTTTAAGGGAAGAGGTTGAGTGTTCCAAGATTAGAAAGCAATATTAAACAGGATTGTATCTGTGTCAGTGTGTGCGAGCAACGCACACTATTGCACATACTCTAGCAGCAGAAGGCCACATGACCCTGAGTAAGTCGAAAATAGGCACCACTGGAGCAACCAGAAGCCCACAGCAAATAATACATGGTGCATGTGGGAACACAGGATTGTGCACCGCTTGGCTAGACTTTGAATGCAGGATATTGGAATCAATTTAAATGGAAGAATTGTTTTTTTCTTTGTCTTATATTTGCTGGTTTCATAATCCACAAGTGCATCACCCTGGATACAACCTTGATGCATCCAAGCAGAGGCAGTTAAGTGATGGGATATTTAAATATAGAGGGACTTACAGCCTAACTGTACAGTGTCTGTGTTTGTGTTAAGGTTCAATCCATACCATTGGTAAAGATCCAGAAGATGTTTCACAGACAAATTATTCTTTTATTGATGCAGCATAATAGCACACAGAATTGTAATTTAGAATATATGCATCTATAATTTTGGTTCATCCTAAAAATGTGGTTTGTAATCAGGACAGCATTTAGTTTGCTTCTATGTTTTGCAAGGTTGGACCATACAACAAGTTAAATCTCTATTTTTTTGCACTGCATCCTGATTTATCCTTTGATCCCTATAGTCAGTACCTTAGATGTTCTACAGGATTCAATTCTGGGCCCTGACATTGGCATATGGTGACCCATTGCTTAGTTGATTTGGCCATATTTCCTTCAACCATACTTATCTTGTTGAAAGACAGGCATTTCTAAGGGCCAGTGTTTCTTCATTGGGGGACATAAACGGAAAAAAAAAGTGCAGAAGTTCACTGTTTAATAGACGAAGTGAGGGATATGGCCAAAAAGCTGCAGGTTCCAGAGCAGCTGAAAACTGACCTTACTGCAATACAGCTGGAGCTAAAGTGTTGTTAGAGTAAAATAGTAAAGGAAAACAGTTAAATAGGTAAATAAAAAAAGGACTACTGTAACTAGCTATGGTTTCTGTGACAGAACTTATAAGAAGTTGATTTAATCGTAAGTGCAGGGGCCATAGAAGGAGGCCAGAACAAGTTTTTTTAGGGGAACCGCTACCTGCTAAACCCGGGCTACTGTTTTTCCGTAGCCTGCAGTCCACCAGACTCACATAAACATTGTTCTGCTTCTTCAAAGACTTCCTGTTGACATTTCATCTGTTTTTTTCCCCAAGACCTTATGAAGGGAAACAGGATGAGCGATCAAACAGGATACTTCCCAGTGAGAATTAAAACTTTAACTTCTTCATCCTTTTTTTTTTTAGACCCAACCCATGTGTCCTGTTTTTGTTTTTTAACCAAAATGCTCATCATAGTTCCATCTGACCAATGGAGAAAGTTCTACTTAGAGTACAAATAGCTTCTTACATGTCCTTTACTGTTTTTATTGAGAACTCCCCCCCAAAAAAAACAACATTTAAGAAACTTTCTCACCTCTTTAAGAGAAGACACCATCATCACAACAGGCTGTAAGCTAATGTTCTGCCTTTAAACAGATTCCTGTGAGTGAATCACTCAGAGCCTCCACAGACAGCTTGCTTGCCCTCTCCCATGTGGGCTGATATTTAATATGTAGGTTTTTTGTTACCATTCAGTTAAAGCGCTGATGAATATTCCACACACATTTGTGCAGACAGAGCTTCATGCACTGTCATGCACATGGACACAGGCAAACACTCCACTTGCAGGCTTGCTGAGGCCCATTTGTTTGGAGCACATTTGCCAATGTTCAATTAAAAATCTCTCTGATAAAAGATTCAAATGGCTGCCATTGTGAGTAATGAGTTCTTGTATGAGTGAAGAGGCGTTTACAGCACAGCAGATGAAGACAGATGCAAAGGACCATCCCCTTAGGCTGTTGCCAGTATTTGTGCCTCTGTGGCACTAATGCAAATGTATGCATGAGAGGTGCATCCTGAGAAATCTATACTTCTCTCCCTTTATTATTAGGGTCTGTGATTTTCAGTCATGGTTAAAAGGCCTTGTGATGTTTTCCAATATATTTTTCCTCTGGATTTTTAATAATCTTGCCTTTTAGGTGCAGCTTTGTTTGGTTTTAATCCCGTATTATGATCATGCTTTTGATATTACTTTTGTTTCATTTCCTTGTGTTGTTTCAAAGCCTGCTTAAGTTTGTGTATTTATGCTCCCCAAAAGCACATAAAGGGGGTTATCCAGTCATACCTTTGCTAATGTTTATAAATGTTAATATTGCTCAAGGTTTTTAGTTGCCATTTTTGATCAACCTTATTGTGTCTTGTTCCCCTTTTGCAATAACTGCTGAACTTTGTTCCTGTTTAATCCTTCGCATTGTCATAGTTTGTTTAATGTTGTTTAATCATGCAAACAGAGGTGTTCAATTTTGACACTTCCATTAGAACTGCTGTTAAGCAGTGGTTCAAAATGTAAATTACAGGCCATAATTTGCCATGATAAGATAGAAAATCCTGCATGGATTGCAAAAAAATATAAACTTTTTCTCTACCCCAAACAACATGAAGAGAAAAATATTTAAATTACAAATAAGAAAATGTTTACCTTGATCACTGCTGTTGCAAAGGATTCATAGAATTAAATAAAATTATCATTTTCCAACAGACTTTAAGCCCATTAATATCATTCATACAAACTAATGTTGTCAGTACTAGAATAACAGTGAAAACAGCATGTTAGGTCGTTTTTCATCTCAGTAAAAACCACATCCTTGGGGAGTAGACTGCATTATTTTGGATTTAGTTTTGGCTTGGTGCATTATTCATAGCTACTAATGCTGTCATCAGTTAGTGTTGAAATAAAATTGTGAATTATGTAGTCATCTGCTAAATCATTAGTACGCAAAACCTGCTGCATGTACAGTAACCTTTTTCAAATAAAATAGCTGACTATTTATTTCCATAGCATCTGATTATGCTTTCATTTGATAAATAATGTTTGTAAATCTGACACTGTAGGAGTAATGATTATATAACCAAACAAACTGTGCATTACGTGCACATCAGCTGTACATAGCTGACTTGATTCTCTCTTTAATTCTATTACAATGTATATTTCATTTTAGTTAAAATTCCAGCTTCATACCAAATATAAAGCCAGTCGAAGGGCTTCAATGTGCAAAGATATAGGATACTACTTGTGCTTTATGTTGTTTTATGACAAAGGTAAAACATAATCACATCTACATATAAACCTATTTTGCAACCATAAACACCAAAATCCATTTACCAAACCATTTAATTCATGAGTTTATATCAAACATATTATATCATATTTAACTATCTTCCAGAAACATTTTCTAAATTCTTCAACATTTTAAGTCATGAAAAGTAACTGCGACTCATAACTAGTTCCTTTGAGTGTGCAAAACCTGATTTACTAACTCAGTTGGACTGAGTTAGTGAGTTACTAACCTAGTTACGTTTTTAAAGAAGTAACTAGTCAATTAAATGCTCTAAATTAATTTTCCCCACACTGGCACCCTTGCTCATTGTTTTGAACATTCAAAGCATTATGAGAATTCAGGATGGAGGACAGTGTCTCAAAAAAGTTTACACATATTTACTGAATATTGGAACTCATTGCAGGACCGGGAATCATTTCTTTAACATTGTAGTAATATTGACGGATAAGCCGGATA